TCAGCAACAGCCTCAGCAACAGCCTCAGCAACAACGTCAGCAACAACGTCAGCAACAGTCACTGCAACAGCATGACACTACTTGTATTGTTATTGCTGTTAAGGATTTTAATGGCTATATCTAGCTATAGTTATAGCTAGTGTAGCACTGGAGCTAGTGTTACTACTAGTGTTATAGTAGCTAAAGCTACTACAGATACTAGCAATACAGCTACTAGCACTATAGCTAGCACTATAGCTAGCACTATAGCTAGCACTATAGCTAGCACTATAGCTAGCACTATAGCTAGCACTATAGCTAGCAAAACTGCTCAAACTACAGCTAACACTACAGCTAGCATCACTATTACTGATAAGGATATTTTCTGCTACAGTTAGCTACAGCTTTAGCTAGAGTAACACTGGAGCTTTGCTGCAGCTATAGATAAAAAGCTAGAGCTAGAGCTAGAGCTAGAGCTACTAGAGTTATATCTAGAGCTACAGCTTTAGGTAGAGCAATAGCTACAGCTTTTGCTAGTGATACTGCTACTGATACTGCTACTGATACTGCTACTGATACTGCTACTGATACTGGCATCATTATCAAAGGTATTGATAGCGGTAGATTATGTAAAAAAGAAAGTATATATTTGAGAAATATCTATAGATTACAAGTGTCAGTTCTAGTACGATGTAGTAGTGACTGAGTGGTTCAGCTAAAGTTGTACTTACTGGGTTCAAGTCCCCATCAGATACAAATTACTAGTAGTATTAGCAGTCAATGTGACAGCTATACTGAGCGTATTCTGTACTTACTAGACAGGTTCCCAACTAGTAGGTATAACCGCAAGCTCAACCACAACCATAGATCTAGTTCAGTACTCCTGTGGCAACAGTAGATCAGTAGCATGAATTGGGGGCAAGTACCTCTGAAGAATGGATGCATTCTAAAGAGGCATGTGGCTCGCCGAATACTGCTGCTTCCTCAGTACTGTGCCAACAGTAGATCAGTACTAGCATGAATTGGGGGCAAGCACCTCTGAAGAATGGATGCATTTAAAGAGGCATACAGCTGGCCAAATGCAATGATCTCAAAAACAGCACTTTTTTGTCAGTACAGAAGATCTTCAACTTGCCTCTGAAGGAATTTTTAAGAGGTATGCAGCTGGCCCAATGCAATGATCTATACATACCCATCTATATATACCCATAGATACAACAACCAATGCAATCAATACAACAATCGCTGCACAAATACATAAGCACCACACAGATAAACACTCACTGACTCACCGACACACTCACTGATACACACTCACCAATAAACACTCACTTATGTACATTTCGTACTGGTTAAGGGAGGTATTCTAAAGAGGCATGCAGCTGGCCAAATGTAATGATCTCAACAGTATTACTGCAGCTTCAGTACTGTGGCAACAGTAGATCAGTGCAACTACACCAACCAATAAACAAGGCACCAGCAATACATAAGCACCACACTGATAAACAAGCACCTCACCAATAAAAACTCACTAATAATTTAGGTTTCGCAATTTTAGCCTGTCTCACCTTCCAAAGAAAAACTATTTCTGTCAAAATAATTCTCTATTTCGGAGCTTTCCGAGCTATTTTTTTTGCTCACTTTTTTCCTCTCAGAATTCAGATCTTCGAAACGAAATGGACTTCCGGACACTGCTTATTTGCATGGAATAAAATCGAAATCAAAATCGATTCTGAGAACAGATTTCTCTTAACATAAAATTACTAAATTGCTTACTACTGGAGCGCTCTCTAAGGCGCTAACTAATGGGAATTACACTTCAGCAACTTCACCAACCGTTTCTTTCAGTTCCTCAAGCACATTGACAGGCATATTGCATGCAGCTCTCTCTTCTTCAGTCACCATGCTTGCAATGTAGTTCAGGGACTCTTTATGGAGCCTTGCTCTTTCCCTTCCAACTGCAGTATCCCTACTAATTGTAATCTCATGATCTTCCTTCAGTCTTTCCAGTTCAGTCTCATCCCCATCACTCCAAACAAATTCTGGAGGGAAAGCCATGTCCTTCACTTCCAGCCAAAGATCAAGCACTTCTTGCTTCTTTGCAGGAATCTTCTTTTGTTGCTTCCATTTGCAGAATATCTTGAGAGTAGAAACTGGTAGGGACTTTGCATCTTCCTCCTCATTCACATCTTTATGGCGTCATTGCTCCTAAACCACTTGGTCGATTGATCCGATACTTCCAGATCCCCTTCCCCTTGTTATAATGGAGTTATTCCCTTGTGTTTGTGGACAGGAGAGTGTTGTTAATGGTCTATCTGGAAGGTGAGACAGGTCCCTAGTATGATGAGGTTGATTAAATGAGAGTTTTTTGCATTTTTCGTGCGCAGAGAAATCAACAAGCCCAAAAAGGTTTTCTCAAAGAAACACCCAGCAATGTGCACATTGTTGTGAAGAGAAAAGAAAACCCTTTCCGGATTCTCTAATTCTGATTGGTGCTTTGCTAGCAATAAGGAGCAACCAAAGATAGGGGCTCACTGCTGAAAACTGGCGCGTTTTTTTGTACTCATAACCTATCTTACATTGAGTCCACACATTAGGGTTCGTACCTCGTACGAGTACGAGTAGGGTAACTCGTACCTCACACTTGGTACGTACTCGTGATCTAGGCTCACTGTCTCCTTGTGAGCCTAAATCTTTTTCCCCTCTAAAAAACAGAACGAAAGCCTACGGTAGATATGGTACGGTAGGGTACGGTACGGTAGTTTAAAAATGGAACTTTCTCGATCAAACCTTGGGCAAGGCAAATGTGCGTAGAGTACTCGTACTCGTACGAACCGTACGGCACAAGCATGATTTCGTTCGTGCGAGTTGCCAGCTGATCAAGATTGCGATTGTTCTTTTGAGAAAGAAAATCACGTCGATGCATCAAGAATGACGACGTGTCGCGACATCCTTTTGTCCCGCGGATGTTCGGGTAGATTCCATACAACCAACCGCACACACCGGAGAGCTGCACGACTGGATGCCAAGGGCATGAAAATCAAAAGAAGCAATGGAACGAGCACGAACTGCAAGTGTATCATTGTTGTTCTTCGATAACAAATCTTCGTGTTCAGAGCAGTAGTGCGATTCGCGTCCCTCGCAATGAGGCGTTCGTTTTTCACATTGGCGAGATGCAGCCCTAGCCGTTTGTCATCCGTTTCTGCTTCTACAAACATGCTTTCGGGTGCTGCGAGGAAAATGGCGGGTTTATCGGCAACGAATCCAGCACTCGTTCGGATTCGAACGAACACGAGTGGCATGTGTAACAGAACGTTTAACAGCACGTGCAACAGCATGTTGCGCCTTAGATCGATCCTTGACTTGGAGGGTCGAGGCAAGGGCCCTTGCGTTCGCCGATTTTCAACAGCTCCGGCTATCGTTGGTGACGATGATAGCCTCGGCCACCGCCAAGGCCACAGCCACAGCCACAGCAACAGCAACAGCCCGATCCAAGTCAAGGCCAAACAACCAAGCTACAAGGATGCCATCCGTGGCGGTCCCAAAGAAATTCTGCATCCAACAGAACAGACGACCAAGCACAACCACCAACCGCCAACCACCAAGGCCGGAGATGACTGCAAGCAGGAACAAAAACAAAAACACCCGGGCCAGAACAGCCGCAAAGCAAGAACGAACACCACGCCAGATCGCCTGGTCGACTTTGGAGACATCTCGCGGGCGATGGTTGCCATCCGAAGTGGAATCCGGCGCACGAAATGCACCCAGTCCTTTTTCCTCTCGGAACTCTGCCGGGCCAACATTTTCCTCAAACCCGAGGTACACCAGTTCACGGGAAGCTTCAAGGAACGAGGGGCACGAAACGCCATTCTTTCTCTGCTCAAGGAGCAAGAGTCTCCCAGAGTGATTGCTGCCTCGGCGGGAAACCACGCTCTCGCGCTGGCCTACCACGGAAAGCAGCTCGGGGTTCCGGTCACGGTGGTCATGCCAACGGTGGCACCCCTCCTCAAGGTAGACCGGTGCCGGCAGTTCGGTGCCACCGTTCTAGTGGAGGGATTGCACATCGGGGAGTCCAAGACGGTTGCCGAGGAACTGGCGGCGAGGGAAGGCCTCACCTATGTCAACGGCTACGACGACCCTCCGATCGTGGCGGGCGCCGGCACGATCGGAATGGAAATCGTCGAGGACGTTCCGGACGCCGACGTCGTGGTGGTCCCGGTGGGCGGCGCCGGGTTGATTGCGGGGGTATCGTGTGCGGTCAAGACCCTCAAGCCCTGTACCAGGGTGGTTGGCGTGGAACCGGAGCGCTGTGCGTCGTACACGGAAGCCCTGCGGAAGGGCCACCCCTTTGACGTTTCGGCGTCCGGCCGAAGCAGACACAAGAACCAAAACCAAACGACGCTGGCGGACGGGCTCGCGGTCCCGGAGGTCGGCTCCCACGCCTTTGCTTTGGCGAGGCAGCACGTGGACGAATGCGTCCTGGTCGACGAGCGGGCCATCAGCCTCGCGGTCCTGCGCCTGATCGAGAACGAAAAGATCGTCGTCGAGGGCGGGGGGGCCACCGGGCTGGCGGCGCTGCTGCCGGGAGGACCCCTCTCCGGGAGGCCGGAGATTGTCGGAAAGAACGTCGTGGTCCCCCTCTGCGGCGGAAACATCGACACGGCGGTCCTGGGCCGGGTCCTGGAGCGGGGCCTGGCTTCCGACGCCCGGCTGTGCAGCTTTACCGCGGAGGTCTCGGACCGGCCGGGGGGCATCGAGGGCCTGACGAAGGTCCTCCGCGGGCAGGGGGCCTCCATCAAGGACCTGTACCACGAGCGCGCCTGGCTGCACAGCAGCGTCGACCGGGTGAGGGTCCGTTGCGTGGTGGAGCTCCACGGGAGGGACCACGCCCGGCGCCTCCAGCGGTCCCTCGTGGAGGCCGGGCATTCGATCGAGTGGAACCAGCCGACGCACTACTAGCGAGTGCATGTGGGCGGTGCCAGGGTTGTGTTGGAACCTTGTGGGAATACTACGTAGTAAGTTCGGCACGCATTCTAGTCGAACTCGAAACCGGCAGAGACACCATGCGCCGGACAATCGTAGCAGAATCCTTTACTATACTATACTATACTATACTATACTATACTATACTATACTKTACTATACTATACTATACTATACTACAGGCCATGGGTTCGAGTGGATCGACGCACCGCACTGCACCGCACCGCATCGCACGTCCTAGATCCTTGGCATGGAATCCGGGAGGCTCTTGCTTCCCCCCCCCTGGTGGCCCTCGGCTTTGGCTTTGGCCTCGCCGGTGGCACCGCTTTGGTGGTCGTTTCGGGTTTCCAGGGACTCGAGGATGTTGCGCTCCATTTCCTCGATCGTGGTGGACTGGATCTCGTTCTTGTGGACCTTGACGTGTTTGTTGTACGAGGCTTCCTTGGCCTTGGCCGTGTCGTAGAGGGCGTCGACCAGGTYGTTGCAGAGGAGCCAGTTGACCTCCGTGAGCGGCTGCATCCGGCCAAAGTCCCCTTCCTCCCACGAAACCACAATGTCGTCGAACTCGAGCGACCACACCGAGAAGGTGTCCAGAATGACGTTGACGTTGATCGATCCCACGTACGGGGAAAGGATCGTCCCGGTGTCGTGCTTCTCGAGCCACTCGTCCTGGGTGGGCATGTCGGCCAGGTCGGACGAGTGGGCCAGGACGAGCTCCCTGATCCGGGTGTAGATCGGCCTGAGCCGCCGGGAGACCATGTTCCGGTACAGGACGGCCTCGCGGGTGTGCGGGTGGGCCACGTGCTTGTCCGTGGCCGAGGCATCGAAGACGGTCATCCAGAGGGCCCGGCCCCTCTCCCTCAGGGCCCTGCTCATCCGGTCCGACCGCATCCCGCTCTGCAGCCGGTACTGCCCCAGGATCGTGTTGTGCGTCTTGTAGAGCCGGTGGAGGGGGCCGACAAAGACGCCCAGCTGGTTCCGGACCCGCTCCAGGGCCTGCTTCCGGTCGAGGTCGGAGGCCGCCTTCTTGTCGGCCTCGGCCCGCTCCCTGCGCTCGCGGGACCGCTGCACGAAAAAGGCAACGACGGACCCCACGATCGTCAGGATTCCCAGGACGACAGCCAGGAACTCCGGCTCGAGGGCCTCGGACCTCCCGATCGAGAGGCCGCCTCCGGGGGCTTCGGCTTTGGCTTCGCTTCCGGCCTTGGCGCTGCAACAGCAGCACGAACCGTTGGACGGGAAGGATTGGCTTTGGTTGTGCCTGCCAAAGTCGTTGTGGTGGTGGTAGTGGCTGGTGGTGTTCCAGGAAAAAGGGTCGCCCGCTTCCGGGAAGATCAAGGTTGTGGCGGAGGTGTTTTCCGACGCGAGGCCATTGCCATTGTCATTGCCATTGTCATTGTCATTGCCATTGTCATTGTCATTGGCATCGGCCGCGACTGCTAGGAAGGACATGGTGGCGTTTTCCGTTTCGGAGATGGACGATGTCGAAGAGATATCGATTTCAATTTGGATTTCGATTTCGATTTGAATCTCGTTGCTGATCGTATCGTTATCGCTATCGCTATCGCTATCGCTATCGCTATCG